CTATGTTTGATTTCCATACTTTTCTGCTTCCTTCTTTCCTTGTTGTATAGAAAGATTCTGATCATACCACCTTCAGTCCCGGGTGAGGGCCTGTTGCCCTCAGCCTCTCACTCTAGAGGGTCTCTGTTCTGGCCCTCCTCCAGCTATGCCTCTCCTCACCCACCTCCCCTTCTAGATGATGCTATGGGGACCCAGGACTCCAAAATTCTCTGCTCTTGTGGCTCTAGCTTGATTTCAGGAATGGTCGTGTAGGTGCCTACAAGGCTGCTCATGACAAAGGGGATCTGCAGGTATAAAGAGAATTATCAGCTCTTTCTATGCCCCATGGAACTCAGAGCACTTAAAGAATGATCATCAAGAACTTAGCTATGTAATAAATCCCTGGAAGGTATATTTGTCAAGATCAGAGATACCAAATATTTATTAGTGTGTTAGCTGGATATATAACCTTGAACTATTTAGACGCACAGTATGCAGTCTTCATTTTTACCCTTGTCCTGATTCCTGCAAATGTTGGTGTCAGGTCTGTGTTGAAGTATTACTTTCCTTCGTTTTCTTGGATTATTGTCCTAATTTATTGACATCAGTACTTGAAGGACATTATTGACATTACTTCCCTTCTTTTCTTAATGTCAAACTGCACACTCCCCGTGTTTGTATTGAGATGTAGACCTGCTGATTCAGACCCCATTCTTCAGTTACTGAAAGATGACAGTTGGAAGCCAACTAGAGAGCAGGTCTCATCTGTGGTGACTTGGTTAGAGATTGTCATCAAAACGACTCAGTTATATTTAAAATTGTTTTGCAGACTGAGATGAAACAATGTATTTACTCTTGCCTTCTCATCTTGAAGCCTAACATAGTTAAACAGCAAAGGTGGGGGGTTACTGGAAGTATTCCCCACCTCTTCCAACATTTGCAAAAAGAGTTAATATCTTTCCTTCTCTAACCCATAATCTAACAGCTAATCCATTTATTTCCTATAAACTGGGAGTCTGTTTGTTCACTTATTCATAGTTGTCTATTGAGTACCTGCTATGTGCCAGTCATGGACATAGAGCAGTGAAACAAACACGTTTGGCACATGTGAGGAAGTAGATGAAAATCAGATTGACACATCAGCATATTCCCTAGTGCTGGGTGAAGATAAAGGTCACAAAGAGGAATGAAGTAGTACATAAACAGACAGACAACAGTCAGGGAAAGCTTCTCTGGGGAAATGACAATGGAGAGAACAGGGTGGGAGAAGAAATGTCCCCACTGAAGGAGACAAATGATCTGGAGGCAGGAGATTGTTTGGCAGGTGTTAGAGGAACACAAGAAAAGCCTGAGTGGCTGGAATGGAGTGGAGGAAGAGAGTAGTAGGGAGGATGGAAAGCTAGTGTCAGGTTGTGTAGATATAGGGCATTCTAGGCCATGGTGAAATGAAGCCATGGAGGGTCTGAAGTGACATGTGTTCATTTATGTTTTAAGAAGGTCAGCCTTGTGTTGGGGAATAGTGGTATCTGGGAGTTACAAGTCAAAGCAGGGAAAGCTGTAAAAATCATGGTGGCTGGCACCCTGCTGGTAGCAGAGGACACTGCAAGAAATGGTTGAATTAGGGGTGTATCTGATTTTGCAGAACTCAGCTCTTGCTTAATTCCAGCTACAAGGGAGGCTGGCAGAATCCTGCTACCTTTTCTTCTTCGTCATCTTTTTTTTTTTTTTTAATAAATACTCTTCTCACATGGTACTATAGCTTCCTGAGAGCCTAGAGTCTGGTACCATCTTTTAATCTCAACTGTACAGAAATCTAGATTGTACTCTTTTGTTATATTTGCATTTTCTGAGCATGATAGAATGATTTTGGGGTATTTAGAAGCAGAGCAAGAAAGTCTCTGTTCACAAACCACCAACCGCCCATTAGTTCTGGCTTTATTTTAAGTGCTATATAGTATATCTCTTTTTATCATAAGATGCCATGAATCTGTTTTTGAATTTGGAATGAATAATATCTAATAAAAACATAGTATTACCCAAACAAGGCTGAAGAAATTGGAATTCAGAATGTTTAATCTTATAAAAGGTTTTTGACTATTTTTCAATTGTGTAGACAAAAAAAGTAAGCAAGAGGATTAAGAAATCTCTTTGGAATCAATGGTGTCTGACAGAACAGATCTTTCCTGTTAGAAACTCAGTTTTGTGTGTGTGATTGAGGAGGGAGGACGAGATATAGCACCTGAAATATCGTAGAGACCATTGTATCTGCACTTGTGTCTGCGGGTTCACCTTATTTGGGCCTCAAATAAAACACATAGATGCCAAACACTCAGAAAACAGCTGTTCTTCTAAATGTATTAAGCAATTTACCTTAGGTAATGTAGCCTATAAAATTTTAATTTTAGATTAAATAAACGATATTCTTCACTGTGCCTATTGCACCTTGACATTCAAGAGATGAAATATGGGCATATTTAGTGAGTTTCTTCTCAGGATGCTGCACTGGAGAAGGGTCAGTTGTTTCCTAATGAAAGTCATCAACAGCAATTCCTCTTCGGAAGCTCAAGGAAATTAGCATTAAACAACAGGCATGGGTGTCTTGGGTGTTACACAATTATGTTTTAGGATTGTTAACATGTTTTAGAAAATGGTTTCAGGAGACATTGCATTGAAAAGCTAATTGATGGGAAACAGTGTAATTTTCTGGGCTCTGTTGCTGGTTGTATTATAATGGAAACCAGAAAGATGGGTACCTTGAAAGCCTTTACTAAGAAATGCAGAACGTGGTCTTTATAAATAAATTGCCAAAGGTTAGTAAGGGATGTTACATTTTAATGTTTTATTTGGGTGGAACAGAAGTTATACTAGGTAAAATTTGAATTAAATACCCTTTTGATTTATTGCTTCTCAAGTGTCTGTTTGCTGTATTCTATGAAGTTCTGAGCTTGCTTCCTTCTGTGAAAAGCTATCTAGCGAACATTTATACAGACCCTGTATTCCCAGTGCTTTGTAAATATTAACTCATTTAATCGACTTAACAGTGCTTTGAAGTTGATAATAAAATGATCCCCATTTCTCAAATGAAAAAACATGGAACAGAGAGGTTAATTAACTTGCCCAAATTCACACAGGCATTAAGTGGTGAGCTCAGGCAATGTAGATGCAGAGACATATCCCTTCCTTACCCTTTAGAGTAACAAAAGGGTTTGAACTTTTCCATTTCCAATCTCTTTTCCATTGGCTTTCACCACCACTACCAACAACAACAGCAACAAAACCCTTAAGTGTTTTTCTTTCTTGTCGTAACTGTAAGTTCAGCAAATGTTGAAGCACAATGGCAAGTCTGCCTTATACAAAGTGTGTTTGCATCAGTTTAAAAAGCAGTCTGGATTTTCTTATCTTTTACATTTCATACTTATTTTATGACACTATTTCTGCAAGATGAAACCCATGAAAAAAAGACCTACCCAAAATGGCACTATAGTGAGGGGTCTGTTATAACTGGGGAAAAGCTGCTTAACTGAAGCGTTCCCGAAAACAGACGGGCTTTCGATTCACCTGTGAGGACACTTGCTTCTCTCAGTTAAAAGAAGGAAACAGGTCATAAATATTGAACCAAGAAAGTATATCTGCTTCCTCTGTAACATTTTAATAAATAAAAAGTGAAAAGAAAATCAATGCTTGCCTATTTTCTAATGCCAACTCTGGTTTATTTCATTGTCTAATTAACATTTGACATACCATGCGGTGTCTCAGAGCACACAGAATTCACTAGTGGCCTGAAGCAAATGCCATCACTGTGATTCTGTTAGGTCACTTACACTAAACTGTATTGACGAAGGTAGTTACAAAAACACTAAGGACTATTTTAATGCTCTAGAAGTCTTGCTTTCATAGATGGGGTTTGTCCTTTTAAGTATATCCAAAATTAATGTCAGCTGTTCTAAAAGTATTAGATGATAATGAGTCTACAGCGTTCCTGTATTGGCTGAATTACAGGTCACTCACTCTTTCCTAGTCCTTTCTCCCTCAAGAGTCAATACAGATTTAGGAAATTACAGCTGGTCTCCCTTTGTCCTTGCTGTTTCTTGACTGAAATATTAGCCTTACCATGATTCCATCTGATAAACCCATGTCATGTCTTTCTCAGTTTGTGTCCCATCTACAGCTCTGTTTAAACAATCAATTTACTAAACACATATTAAGCTCCCACTGTGTGTAAGTCTGGACAGATGGGGAGATACACTGTTCAGTCTGACAATGGAGACGGCAAATCATAACCCAGGTTAGACTGGGTTAAGTGCTGTGGAGGCATAAGATGAGTGTTGATTAATTACACCTGAGGAGTCAAGCAATCCTCAAAAAGAGGGCAATATTAGTTCTGTGAGTTTTAAGGGTAGGTGAGCTTTTTTCCAGCTACAGGCTAAGTAATTAGGCAAGCAATGAGGGTGCCTTGTAAACAGAAGCTACAGGGAACAGTGTCATACAGTCAGTTTTTTCACTTAACAGGTTTTTTGTTGAATACTCACTATGTTTTAGAAACTCTTCTAGTCATTTGCAACAGTAAGCATATAGATGAGCAAAACAGGCAAAAAAAATAATAATAATCCCGTTTTTGTGGGGCCTAAATTCTAGTGAGATAAAAATTAACAGTAAATATTAGAGAAATAAGTAAAATGTTGGTAGGTTTGAAGGTGACAGCTATTGTAAGGGGAAGAGAGTGGAGCAGAGTGAGAGGCATTAAGATTCTACACGGGGAGGGAGGGTTGTAATAGTAGTAAGTTAAATGAAGATTAAAGATAAGAATTAGAGGCCAAGAATAAAAGTCATATATGACCAGCGTAGGATTGGGAGGTGTCAGATGAGGTTTGAAAAGTGGACCAGAGCCATATTAAGAAAGATTTTGGAATATAAATACAAGATGATTGACTTTAATGCCAGAGATAAAGGTGGAAAATAAAAGGATTTTGGAGAAAGTTAGTAATATGATTAGGTTGCATTAGAAAAACAAACAACCCCAGGTAGGGTGGTGTTTCAATTCAGGAAAGAAGAACAGATAGGTGCTTCTGTTAGTAATTCATTCAGATGGAGCTGGTGAGGATCTGACTAAAAGCTGATGAAAAAGGAAAACAGGAGGGGAATGCAGAGACCTGTCAGAGGTACTACTGACATGACTCAAAAGTGGGCTGATTGTGGGGAGGGAGGGAGAGGGAAGAATTCAACTTGATTCCCATGTTTCTCACTTGGATAACTTAAGAGGTATATTTAATTAGCTATATTTGAGCTAAGGAACACAGGAAGGGACTCCAGCTGGTGGTCATCGTATCAAACTTGGGTAAGTATAAAGTACCTCGTGCGTGGTAGGTGCACATATATATCCGCTTTCTTTTCCACCCTCCCTTCTCTCCACCTTGGACAGGCTGAATTTGGTGATACGAGTTGCTTATTTATGTGAAGATGTCCAACAAAATGGCACTTGACCCACAGAGGTCTAGAGACATCAATTTATGAGTTATGAACTAAGTCAGGGAAGGGAATAAGAGTATGCAGGGAAAGAAAAGAGAAAGAATCAACTTTAAGGAATTAAACAATCTTCAATCACAAAAATTGAAATGTTTACTCAAATTTTGAATCCTTGATTTGTTAGAAAGGTTGATATTCCTACCAACATTTCTAACAGTTTTCCTTGGTAACTCTAATATACCATCTATACTATGCTATCAAATTTATGTAAAATCATAAATTGTCCACCTAGAATCCCTCTCACAGTTCTGAGCGTTTAACATTATTCCTTTATAAAATTTCCTTACTCCTTTTCCTCCAGATCACTCATGATTGGTTCAAATTAACAGCTGAGTCAGAGAGAAAACCCACAGAAGTTTACTCTTAGCCATACTTAATCTTAAACAAAACTGGCTTATTTTCCATTAATGCCCTCTCGTGTTACCTGAAGGGTGTAACAGAGAAATGTATATATACATAGAGATATACACATACATAATTGTGTATTACTAGGAGAGTTATGACATTTCCTTTAGAAGGCCGTAAACTTGGACAATTCAGCATTTAGATAAAAGGTTATTCACTGAATAGTCTTTCAGTTTGCTATCAGACGAAAGACTGAAGGGATTGCATGGTTAACGTCAGCCACATGCTGTTTCTTGCCTGACTGATTTAAAGACTGTTCTGTTGCGTAATCAGGATAACCTGAATGTGAATTCTTAAAACTACTGTTAACAGTTGGAGAGTGAGTTATAAGCAAAAATTTTGTGGCTTTGTTAAGCGTCACTAAAATATTGTGCTCTTCATGACTAAAGACATGAGCTAGTTTCTTTATAGGTTTGTTTTGTTATTTATCCATACAGTATTTAGAACATTATGTAAGCAAAGGGTAATGCCAAGGACTTAGAGATTAGAGACTTCTAGTTGTTTATTGATAAACAGTTACTGTGAACATTATTCAAATAAATAATTTTAGCTCACTAAAATCCATCCTAATCTTAATGAATATGCTATTTCAAGCAATTAAAAAAAAGCATATTATCACCAACCTTGAAAAACCAACCTCAGGCCTCACTTTTGAATAATTGCTGCTAGTTTTGAATAAATGCTAGTTGGTAATAGTCACCCAGCTTTATCTCAGGTGCATCTTTTTCAACATAAAGACAGCCAATCTGTTAGCTCAGTAGAAATGGGTGATAGAAGTTAGGAACTTTACGTTTAGTGATAAGGACATTACAAGTTTCAATCAGCCCTGGAATCATTTTTGATTCTTCATTTTGCAGATTCTAGAAAGGAAGACTGAGAAATGTACCTTTGTCTGTCACCAGAGAGATCTGACATTATATTCTATTACCAGGAAACAACTGCTTGAGGGGTTCCGCAGGCAGAATTCCTAGATTAGTCCTCTGTCCACTGGTAACGAGTAGTAACATGTCCCTAGAATTTCATATTTATCATTGCATCACTCCTTTCATGGTAGCCTTGTAGCTTCATGGAAAGCCCCAAGCTCAACAGTCAAGCAGAACACCATCCAACCTTCTATACATACAAGCTGGGGAACCTGCTCTCACTTACCCTTGGTTTCCTCATCTATACGTGAAGCTCATACTTGAGCTGATTGTTGTAAGGACTAAGAAGGCTGAGTACTTAAGTGCCAAGTGCTGTGCCTGCATACAGTAGCTCTCAACAAATGTAATATCATTTAATTCAAAATCTTGGAAATTCTTTGTGAGAAAGTAGTGTGCAGTAATTGTGGCCATGACAACAAATAAAGAATATCAAACTGTCTAATGATGTCAGCTATATATTATTCAAGCCATAAATTAATTGACAACTGTTAGGTGTAGTTCCTTGAGTGTACTCCTTCTTTTTCTGTCCATTTCTACTAACACTTGTTAAATTTTTATTAGAAAAATTAATGTATTAAAGTTCCGTGCCTTTGCCATTCTGTTCCCAAGGATATGCCTCTTCTATTTATAAGTGAGATTTTGGGCAAATAATTCTTAGAGTAAAAGGCAGATATTATGTAATTAATATCCCAGCTTGACTCTTCTAGAAATTCGCTGGAATTAGAAATTAGAAAAACAATTATTTCTTAAAACTAGAGAGAGAGAGTGTGTTGTTATATGCATTTGAAAGACACATAGGTGCCCACATGGGGTGCTACAGTCAGTGTTTACATAAATTGCCCTTCAACTTCTTGTCTTCCAGCAAGATTAACCTTTAAAAAGGTGAATTACATTAGCTATTTTCCGTTCAGGCATACAGGCAACTTTATCAACCCTTTAAAAGGAAGTACTGAAGTTGATGGACCTCCAGTGGGCATTCTGTATAACTCTGTCCTTTTATGTTTCCTGTTGAAAGTCTGTGCTTGTAAATGGTGTTATTAAAAGGTATTTTTTTAATGAGGTTTGACTATTTCATATTCTAAGGACTCCCTTCCTGGGATCCTTAGAGGCATATTAGCAGAGTGTTACAAGGCAGTGTAGAAATCTGTTCCTTGTTATCTGAGCCACGCAAGATGTGTTGTATGAGAGCCCCAGAGCTACAGTCAAAATTCCTTTCAAGGGCCAAATGCAGAGAGTTTGTGGTGTGGAAGCAAAGTTTTCTATGTTCGTGGTAGGTGCCAGGAAACTTCATAAAGGATGGAGAGCATGAGATGTGGTGTTGGCAATTCAGCAAAGTTAACAAGCGCCCTCTGTGTTACTTTGCATTGAGAAATAGGTGGCAGTGCCCTGTACTAAGACAGAGTGCTGAGGCCTCATATGGTTGAATCACTTATCAAAGAAGGCCCCCAAACCTGATATAATATGGCCACTTTTAGGGGTTTTCCAAACTGAAGTTTCCAGATGCCACTTCAGTATGTGTATAAACAACGTGAGCAACACAGATTGAAACAACCATTAAGCATCTTGGTATAAAACTGTTGAAGCTATTTTACCCTCCTTCCCAACCAATAAGAGCATAGTAGAGCAGGAAGCAGGAGTAGTCTTTTCAGATTTCCTGACAACCTCAAGACCATGCTGCATAGACCATCTGATAACCAGATAGGTAATGTAAAGCCTGAGGCTTAAATAAAACTATAGCTTTCCTTCTTAGACTGCCTGCCTGTTAAGGAATGCATGACCACTTTGAACTGAATATTCTTGTTAATTACATGCTCATTTGAAAAACTTGGTGATTATTTCATTCATATAATCATTCACATAGTACTTTTCTAATAGTGCCTTTGTTCTACTGTGATAAAAATGTAAAACTGCATGTAGTAATTGCATGGAGTCGCCCACAGTGAGTGGTGTAGCTTGCTACTTTTGCAACTCCTAAACAATGAAAAGCACACACCAAGCTGTCAAACATAAGTGAGCAAAAGAAGGTTAACAGAACAAAACAGCAGTTAGCTGAAAATGAGTACAGATAAACCCTCCTTTTTATGTAGGCCCTGGAGTCCACCCTAACTTTGCTTGAGAAAGCCAGTGACAGGAAACCAGGTCATGAAGACCCATTGTGGCCAGAAATATGCAGCCTTTTCTTGGCAGCATACTGTTGAAAGAGAGTTCTGGGAATATCAGAAATCACATGCCCAGAGTAAACCAAAAACCAAGCAATGCAGCCTCAGGAATCAACTCCATGATGCAAGCAAATACAAGTGTCCAATAAAAATGTAATACGACCACAAGTGAAATTTTAAATTTCTAGTAGCTGTGTTAAAAAATAAAAAGAAACAAGTAAAATTAAGTTTAATAACATATAGTCTAATATATCTAAAATATGATTATTTTAACATATTTTCAATCTTAAAACATTATTAATGAGACATTTTATCTTTGTGTGTGTGTGTGTGTGTGCGCTAAGCCTTTGAAATCCACTGTGTGTTTTATACTTACACCACTTCTCAGCTTGGCCCAACCATGTTTCAAGTGCCCAGCAGCCACATGTGGCTAGTTCAACTCTAAACTTTTCTTATTGATAAAAAGGATTTAAATTGGATGCTCATTAGTTCAATTCTAACCTTAAAGATGTCCTGCATTCTCTGTGGACAACAAATACACAGATGGCAAACTTATTTTGGAAACTGCTGAACAACAGACTAATCTTAGAAATAATTTTTTTAGAAAATTAGGCTTACAAAAGGCAGTCTTATCCATATTTACCATCTCTACTTATTTTCTTCCTCTAGAATGCTGTCCTTCTTATTTCTTCCAATTTTATTGCTCCAGTTGAAACTTTTGTTTAATTCATTTAGATTTGTGCTGTCTAATACATAACCCTAGAGACACTGAATGATTAAGAACTTAAAATATTGCAAAGATGACGAAGAAATTCTTCATTTTATTTAATTTTCATTAATTTAAATTTAAGACTGATCCTGGAGTCAGTTATTAGAAAATGTTTAAGTATGTTTGGATATTTTGGGTTTGTGAATCTATTATAGTTATTGAAGTCCAAGGTTTACAAAAACCAAATTCAAAGTAAGTAATTCTAGTGAAAATTTCTCTCTCAAATTGAGATCACAGAAATTTTAAATAAAATACATACTAAATTTCATAGGCTTAGTACAAGAAAAAAATGTAAAATATCAATAAATTTTTATATTGACTGTTACAGTGATTATTTTTGATATATTGGGTTAAATAAAATATTATTAAAACTAAGTTCATTTTTTTTTTTTTTACTTTTTGTAATATGACTACTGGAAAATTTTAAATTGCCTATGTGGTTTGCATTATATTTGTATTGGGTAGTTCTGGCTTAGGTCTTTATACTTACCAGAGCTTTAGGAATGTCTCCAGCACTTGGTTTGAAGAGTAATGGCTGAGACAGGGGGAAGGGGAGTGGGAAGGGATAAACTGAGAGTTCGAGATTTGCAGATACTGGCTGGTATGTATAAAATAGACAAAGAAGTTTATACTGTATAGCACAGGGAAATATATTCAACATCTTGTAGTAGCTCACTGTGAAAAAGAATATGAAAATGAATATATGTATATTCATGTATGACTGAAGAATTGTGCTGTACCCCAGAAATTGACACAACATTATGAACTGACTATAACTCAATAAAAAAAAGAAAAAAAAGGTTTAAAAATAACAACAACAGAAAAAGAGAAATGGCTGAGAATAGGACACATTCCTGAAATCTATAAATCATAACTGGTTTACAGGTGGCCCCTTGAAAAAGTCAAAGGGTTTAATGAAGTGCATCATAAATAAACATTAGCAGTCATCAGAGCTGGCCTACCTTTCATCATATTACTTTGTGAAATGTTCTTGCCTCTTCTGTTTCTGGGTTTTTTTTTTTTTAATGTGTTCATGTTTTAAAATCAATTAATAATTCTTACCAATTGCATAAAATGACCTGAAGTATAGTAGTAACTCTGTATTTTGTAAAGTGTTTTGAAATTAATAGTTAAAAAAAAGGATACTATAAAAACACAAGTTGTTTTTACTTAGATTCTATGGGTAAAGGGAAAAAACATAGACTTACTATCTTATTTAATTTGCTTTTCCAAATACCTCAGTGTTCAATTGAACTACTCAGTTATGATGTATTATAATTTCATACATCACAGATAACTAGATTTGATGTTATTTTAGACATCAAAATATTTTTAAATCATGAAAGGGGTGTTCATACACGAGGTTGAACAGGCTGTCAGCACACCAGAGGCTAATTTAAACTGTGTCTAGGTTATTTTCATGGGCTCTAATGCTTCTGTGAAAGCATCTATTCAGTGCACCATATCTGTCTTTCATCAGAATGAATTTGTCAGCCATTTCTAGGGAAGATAATATAAAATAATTTTCTGAATGTACTATTTCTATTCCATTGCTAACACAATCTACAAACATCTCCTTAGATAGAAGCTGGTCAATTCAAAAAGAATTTCTTAATCACCTACTATGAGCCAAGTATGGTAGGCCATGTAACCATTTCCTTGAAGCAACTAAAATCTACATGAATCATTTGAATTAACCTCTATGAAAAGTTTAAGCAACAGAACAAAGAAAAATAATATTAAATTAGTATTTTGTATAATGTTCAAAAGTTTGGATATAATCAGGAAAACATAATCTTAGCACATTCTAGTTTTCTTGGAAATACCAGCAAGATTTGTGAGGACAGGAGATCAAAATTTTAGAAGATAAATATAGATATTTAATATACAGAATGTTTAGAAATCTAATATCTAAATT